GTCTTTTATGTGGCACCTTGTCAAATGCTTTCTGAAAATCTACACCCATACCTTATTATATATATATATATACTGCGTTCTTGAATTTTTAATATAAACTGGTCTTTAAACGCGATGTTTTTAGCTGTACAAAGTCGAAGAGGTCTACGATCACATAAACAATAGTATACTATACCCTCTAGTCAATATTACTTACGAGAAGCACGATATCACGTTTTCAGAATTCCCATAACGCGTTACGTATTCCAAGAACATTCCACCATTGTGTAGAACAAATACCCCACCTGGTGTCACTTCATCAAGTTATGTTTGATACTGTACAGGTACTAATAATACCGGCTATGAAGAAGGAAATCGCGTTTGTAGGGAAATATCATATAATATTGATCTTTATCGTAATACACTTAACTGAAAAATTAATTATATTTATATACATAAATTAATAAAACTTTGAATCATGAGTACCATAATTCAGTTTAAAGACTATTTAAAGTAGGCCTAAACAGAATTGCCCAAATATTTTGGTAAAGAAATGGTTGCAGAAAAATAATATTACCAAGCATCTATACCCCTTTACATTTAGATAACATATAATTATAACTATAATTATATATTCATGTTACATACCTTAGGGTTCTATTTGAACTACACAACCCAGAACTTCCGAATTTGATAAATAACCTTCACTGCTACATGTCGCTTTTATAAGGGAAGTCCAAAAGACAGTAGCGACATCTATTTTAATATACAGTCCACCTAGATAAGTACGACAATATAGAACTGGTTACATGAAAATTAAAGTTTTATTTACGAATAAAAAGTAATTGTTTAAGAAGTTTATTTTTATTGTTTTACATTATGTTTCGCTAGGTTTACCAAACATCATCAGGTGGATATATTTTCAAAAGCCAGTGGTGACATCTATTTAGATATATACATATATATTTCACGTCAGAATCTATAGTATTAAAACAGTCTGTGTGTCAGTCAATGTTGTCGCCTTATTTCTTCTCATCAACGTCGTCATCATCGTAATTATCAGCCTTGGTCTTCTCTCTGCCTCCTGGACGTCAGGACATCTTTTAAATATTCGTACCAGCCAAATTATCAGATATGACCTGACTCTGAAATCTCTTTTAACCCCACGAACTTAGCTAAATTTCTTTTTTTCGCGAGCAGGGCAAAGGGGGATATCAGTATCCCTGAAGGAAAGTTTATCTTTCTTTTAATAAAAACTGAATCCCTGCCACGATTTTATTATTATTATTTTGTCTGCCAGTCAGCGCCATAGCTAGAAGAGGAGAGATTGTTTGTTTGTTTGAAGTTAAGCACAAAGCAAAACAATGGGCTATCCGTGCTCTGCCCACCACGAGTAGCAAAACCCAGATTATTGCGTTGTAAGTCCGCAGACATTCCGCTGAGAGGAAAGAACCTAGAGACCTAAAACTTTTCACAGATAATAAATAACTGAGATGGTGTTCACCTGGGTATTATTTTTATTATACACGGACCGTTTTTTATGTTAAAATAATATTTTATTTTCTTGCTTTCGGCCCTCTTAACGGAGCCTTCTTCGGGCAACAATGTACTGGTCATCAAACTCTGTTTAAAACAAGTAACTATGCAACAGTCGTAACAATAACTGACATCTGGTATTAAAGTTATTAAAGACATACAATTATGATGAATTTAGAATATAAATCTATTGCTTCGATATAATAAACATTAGGGAGATACAATTATTAGTATTATGTAGAGAAAAAATAAAGGAATGTTTTCTTCTTCAAATAATACATTGTACAATTAAAGGTTTAATTCTACATCGAAACCACATAGTTACTGTGTTTGTGTAAGTTTCTAAATATTGTCTGATTTTAAATTACAAAATAAGTTGAGTAGTTTGGCTAGTTGATAGAGTGATTGTTTAATCGAGGACTAAACAAGAGATTAGGTTTTATTCCAGATAACTTTTTTAAAAAAAAACATGTTATATAACTGTTATTGTTTTACATTTTAAAAAAAGAAACCACGCATACGAGTGTAACAATTCATATTCATTTCCACCAATAATGTAAACAATAAGTTTTTGTAACAAAAGGTTAAAAAAAAGCACGCATAAAAGTATTAGAAGTTATATTATTGGTGGAAATGATTATATTTAAATGTTTGTTTGTTTGAATCTAAAAAAACCTATTTTCAAAATATGTGTGCGAGGTTAAGAAATTTTATTAAAGTTATTATTTCAAATAAAACCTTATATATTGATCAAAAAATTGTATTTTTGCATTTGAATCATTTAAGAGTTCTCTCAGTGATTGTATTTGAAAGTCGTTATTACCCGTGCAGCGTAAAAAACAAATTTGACCTCATTTGAAAAATAAATAAAGGAGATACGAAGTTTGTATCTACTTGTTCGTATTGTTACGTCTCTGTTCGTTTGTTAATTTTCCGTAGAAATTCTTTCCAAAAAACTTCACCAATACAAGTCCTTTCTTAAATAAAACTAGTTTATTCTTTCTCAATACAACTTTGCAATACACTTAATTTCCACAGTCACTTTAACTTAAACAAACGCTATAGCCCTTGTGTAGCTTTGCGCAAAAACAAACATTATTTTTGTTCAGAAATTCCCCGCGAAATATTGTTGAAAATCTGTCTTGTTAGGCTTAGTAACGACGTGTTCACTTGGTTTTTAGGTGATACCAGACATTCCAACGGTACGTGCAGCACAAAAGTTAATCTCTGTATAATAACCTGATAAGACTAGTGTATAAATAAGGATAGTGTAACTATAACAACAATAATCAGACTTGGGTGTGTAAATAAACTTCAAACAACCGCACTGAGTAATAATGAGCGGTAATCCCACCTTCTGATATTAACCCTAATTTATCAACGCCAGAGATACGGAAACATTATACATAAATGCAGTATATTTCTACATCCTGTCCTTATATACGTAGAACATCTGCATATACTTTATGTAGAAGTGTTCGCACTTCCCTGAAAGACAGAATCCAAAACTTAAAAAAAATTCAGTAGAGACAGGACCCCCTTTGTATTTTCAAACACATTTTTCTAAATTGTATACGCTTAAAACAGTAGGATTTGTCTATTGTTGTTGGTTACATAGTTTCTTATAACATGTCACACACAAAAACAATGTTTAAACTGCAATTAATCCCACAAAGTAGTTCTACGTATTCTAGAAAGAAATGAAGGATTTTATCCAGTTTAGTAAGTTCTTTACGTTAAATGTTGTAACAGGTAATAACATAAAATTGTTCGATGATTACAAATCACTTAACTTCAGTGGATTCTCATTGGACATTAGTATTTTTATGAAAACTTCAACGGTGGAAAAATCGTCATGTGATCAGTGAGAGACAAAGCTGGCTAGCTTTCCGTTAAGCGAAATATATCTCCTTGTAATTAACTCGCTCATCGTGAACTCTCGATAAGATATCAAGGAAGTTCCAGACTAGAAGACAAATTTATATTGTTTGTAAGTTTGTGAAAGTTTGTTTATAAATCTTTGTTTGTAATAACTATTGTAATCATTGTTATTGTAAATTGTACTGTTGTATATATATATATATATATATA